CGAGAGCAAGTCCGCCCCCGACCGGCGCCTTCGGTTACCAGTCGTGCATAACACCGTGTGCCATCTTGACGACAACGCACACAACTCCCTGAAAACAAAAGCTAAGTTAAGCCATGGAAGAAAACGAAGACACTTACTTTCACCATCCAACAATTCTTCGCCCTCCGCCGGCCCCGCCACTTCCAACTTCGCCCGCTTTTTGGGGCTAACGATCGCCTCTGTCTCACTGTCATCCACTACGCCCCTCGACCTGAACTTGCGTTTACGTCCCTTCTCCGCTGGAACCGCTGCCCTTCTCTTCCCCTCCCGCACCCTCTTCCTCCTCTCCAGGGTCCCCTCGGATTCCTCGGACTCATCGTCCCCCTCAGTCCCCTTCGCCTGCTCATCATTGGACTCCGGAGGCATATGGCGAGTCACCTTCTTGAAGCGAAGACCAGGGCCAGGACCATACCGTTCCGCCAAAACTTGACACAGCCGAAAATCAGTGGCCTCTGCGGGGGTCATCAGCAACCCATCCTCCATAATCATCCCCTCTGGCTCTGCCTCCGCGGCCTCCCTCTCTGCGGCCTCCCTCTCCTCAGCCGCCCTCCGAGCCGCCTCCCTCAATGCCTCCTCTGCCTCCTTAGCCTGCCTCTCCGCGGCTTGCCGAACCTCCTCCCTCTTCCTCTCCAATTCCTCCTTCTGCTCCTTTTTCTGCGCCTCCTGGGCCACACGGTCCGCCCGGACCTTTTCCTCCCGCTCTTGCTCCCTTTGCCATTCCACATGACTCTTCACGGCCTCCGCGTATTCTTCCTCCGCGGCCTCCCATTCTAGACGAAACAATTCTTTGGCCTCTTCAGGGCCATCGGGGGTGGATCCCCTCACCAGAGGCTCGGGAGTGCGTGAGCGATGATACGTGGCGAGCGACGACATAGGCGATGATGGTGGTTTCAGATCAAGATACAAAACTCCCACAGCCACCAACAATCCTCCATGTGGCCCCACCGGCCATCGGGATCAGCGCTCTTGAGGGCAAGAACGCTAAAGGGGGGATACTGTTATGCGCATGCCGCCGGCCTCCGTGTCACCTCAACCAACCACGAATTCTATCATGCTACCCACCGGACTCCGGCCGCTTCCCATTACCTACTAATTTCATTTCACCATTATCATTTCACATCTGTATTTCACATTGTAATACCTAGACCCCGAACTCGGTAGCGAATATTCACACCAGAACCCAATGGAACCCGACTCAGAATTAGCTACCATTAGTATATAAAGCCATGTATATCACTGTAACTACTCAGTTCGAATATCAACTTGGATAAGCCATCTACACTTCGTACTCACTCCTCCCTATCTCATCCGTCGGATTCCGCTCCGAAGGATACTCCTGTTCACTTCTCTGACAGAACTTCGTTCTGTCCATCCAGATCCTTGGGCCCGACTCAAGGGTGATGTTGCCAATAGCTTCGTCAATGCCCACGCACTCCGCCGGACTCCACGCGTGCACTCAAGGCCACTCGATTGGCACATTCCTAACAATCTCAATCTCTATTTATATTTTTCATCTCTTGTTCAAAACAGTCACCACCTTGCCTATACTACCATGTCTACTGGCTGGTATCTGTTCTTGCAAGCTGAGATGTTGTACATCTGAGACAATATCAATGGGGCCTTTGACCACTATCAGAAAACTATCATGAAGATCATAAAGGATGAAAACATTATGATGCAGTTATCTGTAACTAGTGACACATTTCCTGATGATATGTATCTAACACAGCCCACTATACTCTGACCCTGCTAATGCATGTCAGCCTTGAGACTGCTTTGTCTGCATGAACATGAATGCTGTGTGGAATGGTCTCACTGTGTTGTTTCAGAATGACCTTGAGAATATGGAGCTGCTGGAGATGTACATATGGAAGATGCAGAGATGCAGAAGAAGGTGTTGAGTGTAGGGTATGTCAGATATGAGGCAGATGGGTGGATTACATTCAAGAGAAACATGATGCTCACATCAGATGTGTGAGTGGCACATGGGCAGCACAATGTGAAGCTGCACAAGTGTGGCTGCTGCAAGGAGGTCACTTGTAAGACATGTTTTTTTGCATGTTTTTTATTGCTCATCTGTGCAGGTCATTTTCTTAGATTGTGGATCCCAATGTCAGAGGAGGGAAGTTTAATTGTTTTCTAGTTTTATTGACTGCTCTAACTGGCTATTAGAATATATAAACCAGATTGCATTCCTGCTTAAACTGGAGTCTCCTTTTTCTCATAAACATGTAATATCAGTCAGCTTTCAACAATGTAATACTAATCAGTTTTCAGCAATGCTTTTTTTTTTGCTCTGTATTTCAAGCCTGGTTATTTCTTCAAGTTGTTTTTCTCTGACCTGTGAATTTAATGGCATTGTTGACAGATCTCTTCATAGCCAAGAAATCAACCATACTCTTTGTATTTCCTTATTACTTATCAATGCTGACAATGGCAATGAAATTAACAATGACTCTCATTTGTGGCAGCTGAGATGTGTTGTAGATAGAGAGCAGAGTAATATACAGAGGATTAGAATTGGCCTCTTGAGAGAGACATTCTACTTAAATACATTTTATATTACTTCAAGATCTTTCTATGAAATACTAAATAAGTCTGGATTATGATCTAAGTCAGCTGCCACTGATTGGCATCATATCTTCAAGTACATTCTTATACTCGCTCAGGATTGCTATCCCAACACTCTCCCTCAATTCCAAGTTTTTAGAATACCTGCAGATAGATACTCATATAATGGTCTTGGTAGGCCTTTAGTGAATATATCTGCCAAGTTCTCCTCTGATATGCAGTGCTGAACTTTGACTTCATTTGAAGCCATATGCTCATGAATAAATTGGTGTCATACATCTATATGCTTTAATCATGCATGGAATATAGAGTTCTCAGTGAATTTGATTGCTGATTGAGTGTCAATGAAAATAGTCATCACTTCATAAGATGGCAATCCTAATTTGGTTAAGAGTGCTTGTAGCCAAATTACTTTCTGGATTGTGTGTGCAAGAGCCATATATTCTGCTTCCATAGTGAATAAGGCTATAGTGGGCTGTTTCTTTGAGCTCCAAGTAACAGCTCCCCCTGCATAGGTACAGACATAATCAGATGTTGATCTTCTATCTGCTCTGTCTTCTCCCCAGTTTGAGTCTGAATAAGATATCAGCTCATTCATAGTCCCTCCATATGTGATTCTGAAGTCTAGAGTCTCCTTCAGATAGCAGAAAACTCACTTCAAGACTGTGACATGCTTAGCAGCTGGATTCTGCATATACTTGCTTAATTCAGTGACAACATGTGCAATGTCAGGCTGGGATCCATTGGCTGCATACATTAGTGATTCAACACTGGTATGGTAATATTGCCTGGTGGCTGTATCAACATCTTGTGAGTCTTCTGTCAGAATTTTCTCTAGCCATACATTTGGGTTCATAGGCATTTTGACCAGTTTGCAGTCATTCATGCCCATTCTCTCAAGTACTTTGAGAATATATGTCTTTTAGGATAGAGTGATAGTGCTCTTATCTCAATTTCTGTCTATCTTCATGCTCAATATATATTGAATCTCCCTCATGTCTGTGGCATTTAGCTTCTTTTTAAGCTCTTCTTTCATTTTAAACATGGTTTCATCATCTGAAGCAAGCAATGTCATGTCATTGACATGTACAGCTATGATTGTAGGACCAGAACTCATTTGTCTGATGTACACACATTGATCACTGATCAATCTGATGTATCTGAGTCCTAAAAATATAATATTTAATTTATTGTTTCAAACTTGGTCAGATTGCTTGAGTCTATACAACATTAATTTGAGATATACTGCTTTTCTGCTCCCATCTGAATATTCAGGTGGCTGTGCCATATAAATGGATTCATTGAGTTTACCATTTAAGTAAGCTCTAACAACATCCATTCTGTGAATGATTAAGTTTCTTTGAGTGGCAATTGCTATAAGTAGGCAAAATATGTCCAGTCTGACAATGGGTGCATATGTCTCAAAGAAATCAATGCTGAGTATCTGTGAAAATCCTTTTGCAACAAGTCTGGCCTTGTATCTGATGATTTTCCCATCATCATCTCTTTTCAATCTGTAAGTCCACTTGCAATCCACAAGTGATCTGTCTTTGGGTAATTCTTCCAGCTGCTATGTGCCTAGAGAAGTCAATAGGTTATATTCTTCATCTATTGCTTTCTTCTAATTATGCCAGTCTGGTCTTGCCTTGGCTTCTTCAAGGCTTAATGGCTCATCACTGAGATTGTTGTTATGATTTTTCCTTTTCCTATTACTCTTTCACCCCTATTTCATGCTTAGTCAGGAGACACATGACCATGGGAAGACTTAGCTCAGCACAACTAAAGTCACCCATCAGTTGTCTCGACAATCAAGTCCAACAATGCACAAGCATCTCTTTTATGTATGGTAACGATGCTCAAGAACAATGGGCACCATGGACACAGAAACACACAATTAGTAGTAGTATTATTAGACCCATCTGTACAGTATTTAAGACCGACAGCTCTCGCTGGTATACTTCAGCTTCAAGCTAAAGTTTATACACTCTCATTCTACTCTCAAGCTATCCTTGAAACACCTTGAAACACTCTGGGCTGTCCCAGCACGAACTCCAACGGAAGGCTTAAACATGAAGCCATGTTAGTTTATCACATGTCAGTCCATCACATGTTGCTTGAGCCTAACAATTAGCTCGAAGCTTCTAGCTTCCCTTTCTCAAGCTCAGTTGTGCTGAGAAACTGAATGCCCCTCACAACCTCTACTGACCTGAACTTTGACCACAAGTTCTTCGAACTCCTTTTCTCCATCATTGGAACACTGATAGGACTTTTGATGATCATCCAGCTGTGCCGAGGACGCCATTCTATTACTGTGTGAGCACTCAGACACTACAACAAGTTTCTATGCATCTGCGAAATCTTACAAAACGTAACACCTGATCTCCCTCTACATGACATCCCTGAATCCTGACGAACGACCTACCAGCCTCCAGAAGCTGGGCCTAGTGGCACGCATCAGGGGGATGGTGAAGAAGAAACGAGAGGACAACACTCCCCTCGATCTAGAAACACAAACAGTGGCATCCCAGGAAGGTATGGTATACTCATACCAGGACCACCCCCTAACCACGAAGATGAAGACCTCCTGAAAGACTTCTTCCATCAGTCTCCCTCCCCCGATTCTGCCCCCCAAGCCCCTGGGATTGCTGACCATGCCAGGGACTCTCTCGATGCCCCTCGGATGGCTTGCTGATCCAGCTCCTGAACTTCTAGCCGCCAGTCTCATGGCCTCCGTCCTTCCACCTGAAACAGCTCCAGAGTGGGGGGACCCTCTCCAAATGATGAAGAAGAATGACGACGAGTCTGGGAAGAAACCATCCACTGGTACTTCCCGAGTTGGGACTTCACCATCCCTTTTAACTACGATGATGCTGTATGACAGGAGGAGTGAAGGAGGCAGGATGAGCCGCAGCCAGTATGTCGTGAGTCAGAGAAGCAGCAAAGGAGGAAGACTACAGAGTATGACGAGCAGCATCGAAATGAGCAGTGAGAGGTGGAAAGGAACCAGCTTGCAGCAATCAATAAGAGCAACTGGTATGGGCTACATCCTGAGATCGCCAGTGTCTTTGCACCCATACAAGGCAACCCCCTACCTTCTTCCCCCTTCAGAGAGCCCAGTACCCCAAGCAGCAGGTTCCCGGAATACTGAGCAGACAGAACTCAGACCCAATGTTACCCAAGGCCCCCGACCCCTGAGTACCCCCCCTCATCCTGCACCCCCAGTGCTGACTCCACCTTTGGAAGCAACAAGTCCGTTCTCAGACACTACGGGCTATGAGTCCCTGGGAATGCTCATATCCCCACCCATGCCCTCCGAGGATTTCTCAGGAGTCGAGTTGTCAGGCAACTTATCGACGACAACTACAGAAACAACATCTGCCTCTATCACGAGCAAGTGGAGGCGGCATGAGCAACCAGAGGAAACCGATATCGGTCTGACATCGGGAGTCACCCCACCTCAGCCTACCAGGACCCCCCAGTCACTGGTCCGAGCACCCAGCCAGAGGAGCAAAACAACAATACTACAAGGGGCCATAGAGAGTTTCTATGGCCAGCCCATCAGTTCTCTCCTCAAGGAGGACGACAAGGACAAGGAAGAAGGGGACACTGAAAGTAGCGACCCCCCCCAGGGACCACCATACAATTCACAGGAAGCTACCGACAATGAAGAAGTACAGAAATTGGCAAAAGAAGAGAAGGAGAAGGAATATCAGGGATATTATATGCAAGGGGTGAACTTTTTATGGCGTGACGGCACTTGGCTAGTGTTGCGCATTGGACAAATATACTTATGTTCAGAACCCAACCAGTGAATAGAGGTCCTGCAGTGAGCAGCAACCAATTATGCTGCACAGCTATACACCGCCTGGCATCCAGAATACTCTATAAGCTGGCCACTGGCTTACTCGGCACCCCCTACTGTACGATCAATGCCAAAGACACCTCCTGTCCAACCATCACGAGCCATGTACTGGGCCTCTTTGGCCCGAAGCACATTTTCAACCTCTGACCAGTCTATCCTCACAACGGCAACTCACCTGTCCCACACCCGAATACAGCCGAGGGTGGAGTACCAAACCCCCTAGACTGGGAAAGGAAGCCAACTACTAGGGGGACAACCACCCCTAGAACAAGCCAGACCAAGCAAAAAAGGGAAAGAGCTGATACAAGATGACCCCGAAGCCATCTGCCTCGGGTTCACCATACAAGACAGGGTCATCATACAAACCGAAGAACCTAAAGGGAGTCCAGTCACCAATGACCAATTCCTGCATTCTGTTACACACATGCCACCGGCCTCCGTGTCACCTCAACCAACCACAAATTCTATCACGCTACCCACTGGATTTCGGCCGCTTCCCATTACCTACTAATTTTATTTCACCATTATCATTTCACATCTGTATTTCACATTGTAATACCTAGACCCCAAACTCGGTAGCGAATATTCACACCAGAACCCAATGGAACCCGACTCAGAATTAGCTACCATTAGTATATAAAGCCATGTATATCACCGTAACTACTCAGTTC